CAATTTCCTTACCTCGCCTCGAGTTGTGTGGTGCACTGTTGTTATCAAAAGTCATGAAACAAATTTGTCAAGCCATGAGAATACCAACAAAGGATATGTTTGCTTGGACAGATTCTTCTATTGTCATCGCATGGTTGTGTGGTGAACCCAATCGTTGGAAGTCCTTCGTCGCAAAACCGCGTCGTAGAAATTGTGGAGAACCTAAATAACAAACATTGGTATCATGTCCTGTCAAATGATAATCCTGCTGACATCGCATCACGAGGGTTGTTGCTCTCCGACCTGCAGCATTGTGACTTGTGGTGGAAGGGTCCCAGCTGGTTATCTGAAAAGGAAATTAAGATTAATAAACAAGATATAATATCAACAGAATTAGAAAAAAGAAAAATAAAAATAAATACTTACCTTAACACCGAAGAACAAGAAAAGTCTATAACTACACAATTTGAATTATTTACCAATTTAACCGAACTTTTAAAAGCGATTACTTACTGTCGAAGGTTACTCAACTATAAAAGGAATTTAAGCAAAATAGATGATACGGTCACTACACAAGAAATTAACGATTCACTAATGATTTGTGTGAGAAAGGTACAAGAAGAAGAATATAAAGATGAAATTCAAAGATTAAAAGATCATAAACATGTAAGGAAAATAAGCAAAATTCGATTCCTCAACCCTTTCCTAGACGAACATAACATCCTCAGGGTGGGCGGTCGGCTCAGACATACTAACTTACCTGAGAATAGAAAGAATCCAATAATTTTAGGTGATAAAAACGCGTTGACACCTTTAATTATTGCTGACGCTCACAAGAGAACCCTTCACGGTGGAAGTCAATTGATGATGTGTTACCTACGCTATACTTATTGGATATTAAAGGCTAAATCTATGGTAAAGAGATACATCCGTAAGTGTTTCATATGTGCTAAACTTAATGCTACAACCAGAACTCAAATAATGGGTGACCTACCAGCAGAGAGAGTCACTCTTTCCAGACCGTTCCTAAAAAGTGGTGTGGATTTTGCGGGGCCGATCCAAATTTTGATGTCCAAGGGCAGAGGAAGCAAAACGCAAAAAGCGTATATTGCAATTTTTATTTGCTTGTCAACTAAAGCGATACATATTGAATTAGTCGGAGAATTAACGTCAGCTGCCTTTATTGGAGCCTTTAGGCGGTTTGTGGCACGCAGAGGCAAATGCAGTCACCTGTGGAGTGATCAGGGAAGGAACTTCATTGGCGCGGATAAAGAATTGCGGGATGCTTTAAATGATGCTAAGCTACAGTTTAAGGAAGATATAGCAGAAACTTTAGTGACGGAAGGAAACACAGTGGCATTTTATACCTGCCTATAGTCCTAATTTCGGTGGATTATGGGAAGCCGGCGTGAAGTCGATCAAATATCATCTGAAAAGAATTTTAAGTACTAACCTGACATATGAAGAAATGATAACGATACTTTGCCAAATTGAGGCCTGCTTGAATTCTCGGCCACTATGTCCACTGGATGATACAGACCCCGGAGATTTGAATCCACTTACCCCGGGTCATTTCCTGATAGGAGAAGCACCAATCATCGTTCCATCACCTAGCATGAAAGATATAAAAGCATCTAACTTGTCACGCTGGCAGCATACACAAAAACTCCTCAACGACTTTTGGCGACGGTGGCAAGACGAATACCTGTCGAAATTACAGCAGCGAAACAAATGGCTTAAAAGAGAGGAGGAGTTCCAGATTGGTGATGTTGTTTTGATTAAAACAGATAACTTACCACCGGGAAAATGGTCCCTGGGACGAATCGTCGGCAAACATCCCGGCTCAGACAATATAACCCGGGTTTATAGTGTAAAAAGTGGCAGCTTGATAACAAAGAGAACTATAACTAAATTATGTGCTTTACCCATAAATTGTAAATAAATTATAAATTTAACAAAAAGCTTTATAGAAAATTTTACTTTAGAAAATGTTCACAGTTTAAGTAGTCTAACTGATCACAATGTTGTTTACGCTTCGCCAAATGAATAGTGTCGCCTACCTGCAATTTGTTTTTTAAAATCTAACTTTAGTTTTACATACACTTCGCTTACCTTCATATTATTTTGTATAATTGTTTATTTAAATCATTGTCTTATAACATACTTTATGTATATTGAGGTTTAAATCATTACGTTTGTAATTAATACTTAGTACATAATGTATTTTTGTGATGTTTATACAAAGTTAAAGTGTTTGGAAAAGGACCTTAAGTCCTTTTGGTGGGCGGTATGTTGACGCTAAAATAAGTTTTTTTTTTGTCGTGTAGTTAACTATCATATTGGTGTGTACTTGAGTGAGTCAGTCGCGCAATAAACTAGCAAGCTGCAACACGTCTTTTTTATTCAAATAATCCCGCACACTACATACAGTCCATTTTCAACTCTAATACACCAACAATAAAGTAACAAAAGTTATGAAGGTAAAATGGCAAAAATATTGAGGCCAGCACTATGGTACTAAACATTGTTTAAGATTCAAAACTAAACATATTATAGCATACAGTTTTATTGATATCAGTCTTCTTCAAATTATTATGACTCCGTGGCGCAGTCGCCAAGGTATTGGCTTCAGCGTCGGGGATCGTAGGTTTGATTCTCCCTCGGGACAACTGTTTGTGCGACCTACAGATAGTTGTTTCCCATCTGGGTGGTTTGTACATATGAAATTTATGTATGTAAAATGTCCTTGCAACACAGGATAGTGTTATCCTAAAGTAAGGGCAATGTTTTTAAAAATAAAGAAAATAAAAAAAAATATGCTAACCAAACAACATAAAATTATGATTAAAAACAACAAAGATTTGCTAATTTCATGGCATCTATAACATTTTAAACCATTGAACATGTACAGCTAAAATTTTACCCATATTTAACTTGCTAATCTATCAAGAAAAGGTTGCTGCTGTTTGATTACTATTTGATTAGTTTGTTTTGTTAAATTACATAAATGTCTGAAATAAATAAGTACATTATTTAAAATATGTAGGTAATGACTAAATTGTTATTCTTTCAGATGTAAACTTTTTAACACATTTATATTTTACACTAACGAAAAACATATTCTACTAAATGAACACAACTGATCACTAGGCACATATAGACACTAATATATTATGTAAAAAAAAGACTACAACAAAATGTGAATTCATATTTAAAAAAAGTGGTGACACTAGTTAGTTATTACTCATTAAATGTCACTAGTAATATTACATCACTGTTCTTTCAACAACTCCTTTTAAAAGATATCAGATCAATAAAATGGTGATCCCATTACTTAAAATTTAGAGAACTTATATATACAACACATCTCCAAACAAATCATAAGTGAAAATAATGCATTATTCGTTAAAAAGTGAAAAGGACTCAGATTAGAATTAACAAACTTAAATAATAATTAATGATCTATTTAATCTTTTACATATATAACAGATAACCTATATCATCAATATATCCATGAAATCTAGGGATTGGCAAACTAAATTGTATGTAACATATTGTTTAAATTAACTGGAGTAAATCTCAGTAATTGACAATTATATTATTTGGTACTTGGTTCAATTACTTTTTTTTTTACAAACTATAGACTTTGCTGTTAAATATAATAATAAAAGATACCACAAAATTGTTTGATAGTAAAGAGTGAGTCAAGTCAAGGACAACACAATTCATATTCCAGCATAAAATGGTAGTATAATTAATAATGTCAGTCTAAAAATATAAATTTATAGTGTAAATTGCCGAAAATCTATAATGGTTAGTTTTAACTAGATGATTTCATAATATATGAAAACAAAAATACGACTATCTTCATTCTCTAGTCAATGAATGTCACTAATAAATAGTAAAGTAAATATTAATAATGATTATAGGAGGTGAATAACATTTATGTTCTGTAAATAAGACCTTTTGCATCAAACAAAACACAAATAATGTGTAAGAATGATTGAAATTAAATAAAAATAATATTTTTTTACAAAAAACTTTATCGTGTGTATTTTTTTATGTTACAAATTTAATTAATTGAACTTGGTTGTAACCTTATAATAACTAATGTAATATTATAATAAATATTATGATGAATAATTTTTTATATTTTTATCTATATTTAAAATTATTTAGACTAGAAAAAGTAGGAAGGAATAAGCAAAGACTAAGGAAATGATTAGATGCAAGTGAAATAATTAATAACAGATGCATCTATTAGAAATATTAGTATGAAAGATATTTATCGTCATTGTGTACAATCAGTAATAAGTGTAGTAGTTCATTTGACATATTAAGGATAATTTAAAATTGTCTGGCAATAACTTTGTACATAGGGAACAAATCACCCTAACAAAATTAGCTCTGCACATGCTTTGATACTCATGAACATAACATTTTTAAGTAATGAACATAGTTTTCTATAAGTGTTTAAAAAGAAATATAGGATGTATAAGTTATTTAGTTTTTAAAAATATTTTAAAAAATTTGTGATATATAATAAACTAAGACCCGCCCTGGCAATGTATTACACATATAAACCTTTCTCTTGAATCACTCTATCTAATAAATAAAACCGCATCCAAAAACATCCATTGCATAGTTTTAAAGATCTAAACTTACATAGAGACAGAGAGACAGCAAGATGACTTTGTTTTAAACTATGCAGTGATACGTGCTCCTATTACTCTTTTGTTAAATTTAAGTCAAAACAGTTATTTAGGTGTCATGTTAAAGTACAAAACTAACATAAAATACGCCAGTAAATTCAGTCACAATACATATATAAACCAAAAAGCACAACATCTAGATCAAAATATGTTAACAGGACATTGTATACATTTACATTGCCTTGTAAAACCGGATATGGACTTCTCGGAAGTAAATGTAATTATTATTACGTGGTACTGACTGCAATACTTGTTGATAGCTTTAGTTGTTGTCCTAGGTCACAGAACAAATACGGTAAACAAACTAACCTCTCCCTTTCAGTGTCAACAGAGAAGTTGCGCTCGATAACTGTGGTCCATTGCAGGCCACGGATGGTGAAGGTATGCGGACGCGGTTTGTCCACTGCCATGATCTGACAGTCCCGGACGGTGAACTTATTCAAGGGATCGCGGTAATTGTTACGCTCCGGCTGCGTTTTAAACCCAACAAGATCGCCGTTGTCGAACAGGATAAAGTAGCGATCTCGCCAGTTGCGGATATGTTCTCCACGCTTTTGTAACCATCCCTCCTTGACTATGTTCCCGGGTGCCTCGGCCTCCGCCATGGCTGATGGCGCAGTCACCTGCTTACGCCCGACCGAGGCTCTTCACTGCTGAGACTTTGCTCACCAATGTAGTGGCTTAACCAGTCACTATACCACCACGTTTCTATATTACACTTGTAACGCTATTTTTACCTATGCTGAATACCGAGTCGAGCATATGTATAAAACATTTTATTGTGCAAAATGGCTATAACACACTAATTTTAACGTTTTCTCGTCTTAGAAAACGACACGAATTAGCGACGTAGCCTCGCGGTAGTTACTCGACAATTTTAAATTGTGCTATTTGACGAAAAATAATAAAACGTACGGCACAGAAGTACTATATGCGTCAGAAAGAGAAATCCGAGTAATCTGACAACAGACACACGACTATTTATTTAGCTGTATAATAACCTATTTTGACAAAGTAGTACCATATGTCTGCCGCTAGTCGAAGAAACGGCGTTGTTTCATGTTTTTTTATTTTTCTGACTACGTTCCGTTTGCACAAAAAATATTAAATATTTTATTTTATTTTGAAATCACAGGTCATTGACGTATTTTTACCATTTAACAAGAATCGATATGCAGAAAAAGAAAATGATTATAAAATGAATTGCGAAAACGGTAAAACAGCTCTAGAAAAACTTGTATATTTGGTCAATGTATGATAATTAATATAAAATAAAATACCATGACATAACTAAAATACCCATATACTTGAAAAGTAAAGAAACAGCCTTTTAGCCTAAAATAAAATTAGTATTTTGTATACATAATAATGTAGTGTGGATATACATAATACAGGAATAAGTAATATATCTTTGGGGCTGGATATAGTTATACTTGTTAAATTGCATAAGTACCGGGTCTTAAAAGTACGTCCACTTCTCATATTAGGTATAAAAACCAGGTATCAAAATACTTTCAAAGTATTTTCTGTCCAACGCAAGGAGTCGAATACTTGTTTCCTTGCGAGTGAAAATCTTGGTGCTATACAAATAAGATGCACAATATTCTAATCAAGACGTAAAATACTTTGAAAGTATTTTATTTCACGCATAAGCTCAATCTAAACCTTATATGTATGAGCAAAAGTTATCTAATCAAGTGAGAGAGACATACCAGGCGGACCGATGTACATTGCTTCGCAATCGTACGGCGCACGCCCAAGGATGCCAAATTAGGAATTTTATTCCTAAATTTAGGAATAAAAAATGTGGAATGGAACCTTTTTGGGTGGTAAATTATTACAGGAATATTATTTTAGGAGTTAAATTTTATTCACATTTTCGAATAAAACTACACAAAACTAGTTACTTAAAAAAAAAAAAATTACAGTCCTGTGCTGCTTTGGACAACGTCAGGCCTATGTGTAATAATTATTTTTAAAATATTGTTTTGATTTTATTCTTAACATATTCAGTTCAAATTAATTATATTATATTTATTGTTCTTGACCATTTTTAATGAAATGGTTTATTTTATGAGATAATTATTTTGCCTTTACCTATAATACCTAAAATCGTGATTTTAAATTTAGAAATTTTTATTATATTTTAGTGGGTTTTCGAATTGCTTTAGGAGTATTAAGGTAACACTGCATTCAATTCGTTCGACGTTCGAGTTCGATCGACGTAGTAATACTTACTTTGAAGGGTTCGTACACTTTAATGAAAAAATGCTTTCAAGCTTTGCAAGTATTTCGGGTCGGTACCTGGTTGGTACACTTGCAAGGAAATACCTGGTATCAAAACCTGGTAACGTAAATACGCACCATCTCTACCGGATATGTCGATAGAATTCATCTAGTTTCTTAAAGTGATAATATCTTCCAGTATATAATGGCGTATATTTACAAATTGTTTGACTTGTTATACCGGACGTTAAGGCTATCCGATGGCACAGTATCAACTATTGTTGCAATAAAAATCTGTGAGCCATAGCGGATCTAATATCCGATTTTTTCCTCAGACGTCTGCCAAGACCAAAGAGAATGTAATCACTACGTTTGGCCAAGACGAGGGGGGGCTCACATAGAACAATGTCAAATTTTATGTTCGACAGCGACATCTGGAGTTTGGTGGAAACAATAAAAGCTTAGCCGCCATTTTGTCCTCTTTAGAGCTTGTCAAACTTCATGCATTATCAATCATCTGCTGTTGAAAAAAGGGCGGGAAACTTTGAAAGCTAAGCGCGCGTTTTTTTTCTCTAAATCACATTTATTTAATTTTAGTGATAATAATCAGAGAAGTTTTGTGTATATATGTAATTTTTTTACTTTGTGTAGTTAATTATTAATAGTAATAGTTTAATTTCTATACCTAGGTAAGTTTTATATATTTTATTATAATGAGTGACCCCCTGATCCCGGGGGTGGAGTCCCCGAGGTTGCGTACAATGTAGAAGTTTCTAATGGCGAGTCTTGTATGGACACTGATGCGTCGAATACTCTTATCATTAGAAAACGCTCACGTTTGCAGAAAATTTGCAAACATTGCATAAAAAAAAAGGAGGAGCAGTCATTCTGGTACTAAGAATGACCAAACTAAGCATGCCTGTCATTGCGATAGTGATGAGAACAGCACCATTCTAAATAATGTTGCATCACCAGTAACAACAGAATCAAAAGAGCCCGAGCAACTTAGTGTCGAATATAGAAAGATTTACCAAAACAGTGACTTATCACCTTATATTATACATGTTCAAAAAGAAGTATCTTCATTTAATGATGGTACTTCATTCCACCCTGTGTCCTTTGGCAATTTTCTAAAAAAAAATGCATTTAGGAATATCATCAATGGCAGTATAAAAAAAAATTGGTAGGAACAAGATTTCCCTTGCATTTTCCAATTTTACTGATGCTAACACTTTTATTAATCATCCTTCTTTGTCTACACAGAAATTAAAAGCCTTTATTCCAACCTTCAACATAACTAGGATGGGTATTGTAAGAGGAGTGCCAGCTGAATGGTCCCCAGATGAAATTAAAAATAACATAACTGTGCCAATGGGTTGTGGTGAAATTTTAAAAATAAGACGATTAAATTATAAAACAACTGTTGATGGGTCTCCAGTTTGGAAACCTTCACAGACAGTAGTTATAACATTTGATGGTCAGGTTCTTCCAAAACACATTTATATGTGCTATAATGCTTTATCTGTCGAACTTTACACATATCCTACTATACAATGTTACAACTGCTGTCGATATGGTCACACTAAAATTCAATGTAGGTCCAAACCACGCTGCTTTAAGTGTGGAGATGTTCATACAAGTGACTCTTGCAATAAAGATGATGACTGTGCTTTCTGTTTCCTTTGTTCTGGGTCACATTTTGCTATTAGCAAATCATGTCCTGAATGGGCTAGACAAAAACAAATAAAATTGACCATGGCACAAAACTGCATCTCATATGCAGAGGCTTCCAAAATGCTCCCCCCTGTCACTAAGTCTTATGTTGACATTCTTAAATCTGTTCCCTCTAGCACATATTCAGCTGAGTCTATGAGGCCACAACATTCTTTGTCATCACATATTAACCAACCATTGAAAAACTCATATAAAAAGACAGTTTCTTTAAAAACTCGACCTCTTCCCCATTTCAACAAAGGCTATGACAAAGCAGCTCATCAAGCTCTAATTAAGGACTTTGAAATGCCAATGTCGTCTAACGGATGTGCATTAACACCCAATGGGAATGAAAAACAAGACATATTTACAGATGTTGTAATTCCTTTAATTAATTCTTTGTTACTAAGTAAAATAATTTCACCGAACAACGTTGCTCAAACATTTGATATTCTTAAACAAATTCTTAACAATGGACAATCAAGCCAAAGTTATACAATGGAATTGCAGGAGCATAGTTAATAAAAAAAGTGAATTGATATATTTGATTAACAAATTTAATCCTTTCCTTATCTCTCTTTCGGAGACTTGGCTGCGGCCAAATTTATCATTTAATATGCAAGGATACATTTGCCATAGAAAAGACAGATTGGATGGATATGGTGGTGTAGCAATCTTAATTAAAAAAAACTGTTATTTTCACGTATGTTCCACTGCCTCCACACTCTGATAACTTTTCGGCAATTGCGATTTCATACAATAATGTTTGTTATGTATCTATTTATGTTCCTCACCCATCTCAACAAGTTTTAAATGAAGTTAATCATCTCTTATCTTCACTGAAAAAGCCATTTTTGGTTATGGGTGATTTTAACTGTCATCATCAATCCTGGGGTAGCTCTTTTTCTAATCCTAATGGAGATCTAATGTTAGATATCCTTGATCATCATAATTTATGTGTTCTAAATACTTCAAAGCCGACAAGACGTACAGAACCGAATGAGAGTGTGAGTGCTGTAGATTTATCTATATGTACTCCCAATCTTTCTTCTGTTCTAGAGTGGGACATTTTGTCTTCTACTTATGGCAGTGATCATTTTCCAATAATTATTTCGTTTCCTTTCTATAACCTTCCAAATCAAAAAGTTCCGCGTTCACGTATGAAATACAGATTAAGTACTAAAGGCTGGCATACTTACAAAAGCAACACACTACAGAACGTTTCTACCTTGCCAGATGTCCAAAAATTTTATGAAATTGACTCCTATAATTCTTTTGTAAATTTTCTTAATAACGCTGCGGAACAAGCTTTTCCTTTAAAAGAAAATACCTACCAAAAGCTTCACCCCCGCCATGGTGGGATAAAGAATGCTCTGAAGCTGTTAAAAAAAGAAAGACTGCAGAAAGACAATATTGTTCATCTATGACATCAGAAAATTTTGAAAGTTTTCAAGTTATAAGTACCAACACACACAAAATTTTAAAGATGAAGAAAATCGAAGGGTGGAAAAATTACTGTTCATCGATCTCTCCTAATACTAATCCTTCAGTTCTCTGGCAAAATATCAGACGATTCAGATGTAGTAAAATTAGTTCTCCCTCAATATCTCTTCCAATAGATCTTGCTGAAGATTTTACAGACCGACTTGCCCCCCCCTTTTGCTCC